TTTTATAGATTCAGGGCATGGGGGTTAAAGGTTGTGGCGGCTCTGATCCTCATTGGTTGACCTTTAGGCACCTGCGGGGACCTTGACAAGGACTTTTCTTCCCCAGAAGCACAGGTAGGGACTTCTCCATTCCCGGAAGTATAGGCCTTCCTTCCATGTGGATCCCAAAGCTACCACCTGGCAGCCAATGCAAGTCTCCCACAGGGATGGCAGAGTCTCAAGCATTTGAGCCATCATCTGCTGCCTCTCAGGATGCACTAGCAGGAAGCTGGATGGGGAGTGGAGGGACAGCAACAGGAACCAGCACATGATGGGGGCATGGATATAGGTACTGCAGGAACTTACTTCTCCTGGCCGGCGCCGCAGCTCACTAGGCTAATCCTCTGCCTTGCGGTGCCAGCACACCAGGTTCTAGTCCCGATTCTGTCCCGGTTGCCCCTCTTCCAGGCCAGCTCTCTGCTGTGGCCCGGGAGTGCAGTGGAGGATGGCCCAAGTCCTTGGGCCCTGCACCCCCTGGGAGACCAGGATAAGTACCTGGCTCCTGCCATCGGATCAGCGCGCTGGCCGCGGCAGCCATTGAAGGGTGAACCAACGGCAAAGGAAGACCTTTCTCTCTGTCTCTGTCTCTCTCTCACTGTCCACTCTGCCTGTCAAAAAATAATAATAATAAAAAAGAACTTACTTCTCCACAATGCCCAGCCCCTCAATAAAAAAATTTAAAATTTATTTGAAAGGCAGAGTTATAGAAAGGCAGAGGCAAAGAGAGAGAGAGAGGAGTCTTCCATCTGCTGGTTCACTTCCCAAAGGGCCACAGTGGCTGCAGCTGGGCTGATCCGAAGCCAGGAGCTTCTTTTGGGTCTCCCATATGTGTGCAGGCACCCAGAAACTTCCGCTTTCCCAGGCCATAGCAGAGAGCTGATCAGAAGTGGAGCAGCCGGGACTTAAACCGGCGCCCGTATGGGATACCAACATTGCAGGCAGTGGCTTTGCCTGCTATGCCACAGTGCTGGCCCCAGCCCTGGTTTTTTAATTAATATATATATCCAAAAGCACCATCGCAGAAACACACAGAGTGTGTGAGAGAGAGCTGGCCACTTCATAGCCCATTCAGACAGACACACAAGCTGTCAGATTCTGGGGTAAGCACAGGGGCTTCAGAAAGTTCATGGAACATGCACATTGTCCCTTCAATCCCACTTTCCCACGTACATGTTGAAGCCCCTCACACAGTCAAGCACTGCCTAACATGTCAGTCAATGACAGACCACATACATGATGGTACATGCCGCATAACCTAGATGCATACTTGGAGATTCCACACAGTCTATGATGCTGGCTTGACAACAAAATCACCTAGCGACAACTTTCTCACTATGTATCCCTGCATTAGGTGAGACATGGCTGTCCTCTTGTTATATCCTGTTTCAATCATCTAGAACAAACACTGTAGACTGAGTGGCAGAATATGAAGCACAAATTTATTTCTCTGGAGGCTGGAAGTCCAAGATCAGAGTGCCAGCATTGTCAGGTTCTTGGTGAAGGCGTCCTTCCTGGGAAAGCAGCAGAAGATGGCTCAAGTGCTTGGGCCCCTGCCACACACATAGGATATCTGGATGGAGTTCTTGGCTTCTGGCTTTGGCATAGCTATGCTCGGCCTTTGCAGCTATTTGAGGAGTGAACCAGCAGAAGGAAGGTCTTTCTCTCTTGCCTTTCAAATAAACAAACATTTAAAAATGAAAAAAAAAATTCTTGCTGGAATTCTAGGACCTGGGGCTATGCTGAAGCTGTCAGGACATGGGCCTCTCAAGGACTATTTGTAGGGCGAGCAAATGAACCCTGCACCTGGTTACAACTCTGGCTCTCCCAGGAGACAAGAAGGCCTAAGGCTGGCACAGAAGGTGCTCACTGAAGAAGAGGCTAATGATGTGCCTGTCAGTTCCTCAGAGTCAGGAACATGAGCCTCTGCCTCCCATTCCCCATTCATCCAGTCATGTGACAAGCCCTTGGGTATAAACTGGTGACAGATCCATATTTTTTAAAGGATTTTCTTTAAAATAATTATTTATCTTCATTATATTTGTAAGGCAGAGAGACAGAGAGCTATTTCATCCAGTGGTTCATCCTCCAAATGTTCCCAACACCTGTGACTGGGCCAGGCCTAGCTAGAATCCAGGAACCCCAAGGTCACCCACGGGGGTGGCAGGGGCTTAAGTACCTTAGAGTGTACATCAGCCATCAGCTGTGTCAGAAGTAGAGGAGCTGAGGCTTGAGCCAGGCACTCTGATAGGGGACGCAGGTGTCCCAAGCAGCTGCACCAAACACTTAAGGTGTTCACATCCTGGTGCAGGGGTCACTGCCTTATAGGTGGATAAACCTGGGACTGAATCCTGCCTCTGCCTCTTTTTGAGCTGTGTGACCAAGTCACTTAACTGCTTTCTGTGTATTCCTCACAGGAGAATGAGTAAAGACAGCAAGCACCTGCTTTACAGGGCTTTTGAGAGAGGAAGCAAGCACATCACCATTCGCAAAGCGCTGGCTGGTAGCTCTTACTGTTTTTTCAGCTTTTATGTGTGGACAGAGCCCTGCTGCCCGGCAAATAGCCCACTGGTACCAGTCTCCCGATCCTTTTTCCCAATGCTATGGAGGAAGCTAGGGTTGGCTAGGATTGGGGTCTTACAACAAGTTAATGCCAGGCAGAGGCAGACAGAGGGGACTGGCAGCCAGCTGAGCCCCTTGAATTTTGGACAATCCTCTTTTCAGGATATGTGTTATGTCACTAGCAGCCTGGGACGGCAGGATCTCCAAACCCCTGGCAGCTAGTTCACTTAAGGCAAGGTGCGTTAGTCCACCTGGCTTCAACACCCTTAACTGTACAATGGGAGTGATCACAGCCATGGTGCCCAGTGTGTACGTTTCTAAGCGTGTCTGATTGCAAGTAACAGGGCATTCATTCATCCTGTACTGAGAACCGGAGGACATGCACTGCAGCATACTTTCATTGCAATCCTTGAAACTTTATGTGGATTCAGTGTTCTTATCTTACAAATGAGGAAACAGAGGCTATTCAATTGCCTGGGGTCACACACAGCTCTGCAAGCGGCAGAGCGGGGACCCTGGTCTTTCCAACTACACCACTTGCCTCTGAATCACCAGGCTCAGCTATTACTGCCCTTAGCCCATGGAGCTGGAACCCCAGATGACCTTCGAAACCCAGAAGGGCTGGTTTCCCATTAAACGTCTGAGAGCCACAGGCCTCTGCTTTTCCTCCTGGGCACGAATGTCCATCCTTTGCACGCCTGAGGCTGTCTTTTTGCTGTGACTCTGAGGGTGGTGAGGCAGGGGGAAGGCTCCCACACAAGAGTTTGAGAACTGCTGGAGGCACAGCTGCTTCTAAGCCTCCCAGAAAGCAGAGTTGTGGCGCAGTGGGTTAAGCTGCCGCCATCAGCATCCCAGATTCCAGTGTCTCTACTTTGGATCCAACTCCCTGCTACTGTGCCTGAGAAGGCAGCAGAAGATGGTCCAAATACCTGGGCCCCTGACACCCACCTAGGAGACAAGGAGGGAGTTCTAACCGCTGTTGAGGCCATCTGGGGAGTGAACCAGTGGATGAAACATTTCTCTCTTTGTCTCTGTCACTCTGCCTTTCAAGTAAATAAATTTTTAAAACTTAAAAAAAAAGAAAAAAGCAGACACAGTGGAAAGTGCCAGAGGCCAGGTGAGGCACAGTTTCTGGAGTCAGACCCCGCCTCCTGGTGCCAGCTTCTTCACCTCTGAGCTCCTGCAATGTCCCAGGGTTACTGCGGTAGGTGAGTAAACAAACGCAGCTCCAGCTTCTTGTCTTGCTAGCATGGACACAGTGTATCTAAACATGTAACGTTTGTCTCACTGTAGCAGCCGCGCTTCCTAAAACTGTGCCTGGTGCAAATGTCGGTGGAAGAGATACCCTACAGAGAGCAAGTCTGCCAGGCTCTCAGACGATCTGAAATAAATCAGATGCACATACAACACGTGTGTGTATGCACACGCATGGGTACATAAAATGAAGAGAGGGGAGGGAAACTTGAGAGGTGTGAGTCCTGCTGGCATCCATGTGCAGGCAGTATGGGGGCGGGGGCTGTTGAACACTTTGGAACCCGAAGCTCTGGGTTCAGATGCACCTTTCCCAGCCCTGAGGCAGTGCCAGTGATGCTTAGAGCTGGCCTGACTGGTTACTCTCACTTTACCTGGAGGGTTTTCTAAGCTGCCTCAATACCTCTGCAAAAAGACACCTGATATGGATTCTCCCCTGGCCTGACCTCTACTTGGGCGTCCTCCAACATTTCAAAGAGGACCCCACTTTTGGACTTGGCTGTTCCCTTCTGCATTGTCCAGTTTCAGCTGGCATCATGTTAAATCATTCTACCTAGAATCTCCTGCCGCCTTCCATTTCTGGTCATCTCCAATATCTCAGCGGGATCTTCCTCCTCCTCCTCCTCCACCCCCTAGGACAGTGCATGGGGGGGGGGGCTGCCTTCATCAGTTTAGCTAGAAACCCTGTAACTCCTGAGGGGCCCCTGTAGTCCTTTTCCACCCCCTGGGTCCCATCTTGTTCCTTGGCTATACATTTCCATACCGAATCTCCCTCACTGCAAAACCCACCGCAGTGGGTCCCCACACCTCTCACGCTGAGCCCCCCTTGAATAAAGGACTCTCGTTAACCAGAAACGTCGCCGGAAAATCATTTCTCTCCCATCCCAGCCTGTGGTCTTCAGAGGGGTCCGGGAACAGGGCGCAAACACCTGGAAACCAGGGGGGGCCTTGGACACAGCTGGGGAGGGGGAAGGCGCTGTTTGCACCGACATCAGCCCCAGAAACGCATCACTGCCCCCAAAGAGATATTTTTTTAAAAAGAAGGGCGAATTCCGGGCATGAGCGCCCCCCGAGGAAGAGGGGGCTCCGCGACGCCCCCTCCCCGGCCCGCAGGTGCGCAGCCCGCGCCGCCCACCCGGGCGCGGCGTGGCGCGGCGCGGGCAGCTGCGCTCTAGGACCCGAGGAGGAAGAGCCGCCGGGAGACGGCGCCTGGAGCGGGCGCTGCCGCGAGCGGCCGGCCGAGGCTGGAGATGGACGGGGAGCGCTCCGGAGCCACATGGGCCGAGCTGCCGGGGCGGCGGCACCGGGAGCAGGATGCGGCCGCCCGTAATTAAATAGCATTTACTCTTATTATTACTAATAATAATAACGTAATCATACCTCTAGTCATAGCATACCATTTATCGGGCTCGGCGCAGGCCCGCGGGGAGCGCAGCCCGGCCGAGGTGAGTGCTTGGCGCGGCCCGGCCCCGCGGGCACAGAGGCCGGGGCCACCCGGGCGCGGGCGGGCGGGCCGGAGACGCGCGCGGCCACCTGGACAGATAAAGCAATAGCCTCCCCGAACCCCATTCCTCCCTTTTGGGGAGCCCTGCCCCGAAGTTGCAGAGTTGTGGTGCGGCCGGGGGCACCTGCCGCGGCGGCCGGGGGGTGTCATGGAATTTGTTTCTGTGCGGGGCTCTCCCGCTTTGGGGGTTCGCGGTTGCTTGGCCGGCCCCCTCCCCCTACCCATCAGGGGCGTCGCTGGCACCGTTTCTCTTGCTTTTGTGTTCATCCTGGCCCCGCACTGCCCAAGGTGTTGGAGGTGCCGCGGCGAGGGCCAGGGACCGCGGCCGCCCGATGGGCCGCCCTTGGCGGCTGCGGCAGTCACGCGAGCCCGGGGATTCAGGGCCTGCGGCCTGGCTCAGGGGCAGGGGGCGGCAGGAAAGGGGGGCGCGGTCTGGGCTCACGGGGCAGGAGGGCATTTCCGGTCGCGGGGTCTGACCCTGGGCTCCGGGAAGGGAGGGGGCCGTGGGCGGTCCGTGCTGGGAGCTCGTGGGGGGTACGCGGCAGGCAGGCTCTGGATCCCGGGGGTCGCCCCTGCGGAGCCTCGGACCCCAGCCTGGGACCCGCCTCCTGCCCACCCGGGGCTTGAGGGCCTCCTGGGAGGCCTGCTCCCTCTCCTCTTTACTCCCCTTTCCCCTTCAACTCTGGTTGGGGTGTTTTTAAGGTGCCTGGTTTGTGGGTCGTTTACATAGAGACAAAGCATTTGTGCAGAGGGGAGAAAAAAAAAAAAAAAAACACCGTGTGGAAACCATTCTCTCTGATAGCCCCGGGGGACTGTGGTGTCTGCGTGGTACCAGGGGCAGACCGGAGGGCAGGGGTCCCAAATGGGAGTCTGGGGAGCTTGAGCGGTGGGCCTGGAGTGGGGGGCCGGTGGCCCACAGCCGCAGCATCGGGGATTTCATTTCTCTGAAGACAAGCAGCTCCAACTTCTTGCCATTTTCCTGGGTGCCAGGGATCCATCCAGTCTGATGAAAATAGCAGAATGCAGATTCTTGAATTTGCACACAAATGTGATAATTATAGTACATTTAGCAACTGTGTTGGACACAGAATTCTAAAAGCATCTTTGGTTCTACTACCTGCCCCCGCCCCCAACCATACCCTCCCTCTCCTTTCTCCACTGTCACCTCCCCAAGAGAGGCTGGCCCCTGGCGAGGGACCCTGCTCCTGGCTGGAGCAGGTGTGAGACAGGAACATTGAGGATGGCTGAGAGACTGTGTGGGCCTTGGGCTCTGAGTTCTGAACTGATGGCTTGCCATGCAAGTGGGGACAGCTCAGAATGCGAATTTTGGGGGCTTATTGGCGGGGTTAAGAAGTTTGGGATGAGCTGACCTCCGTCTCAAACATGAGGAAAGTTGAGACATCAGTGAATCTCTTAAATAGCACCTTTTAGTTTATAACATGGCTTGGCTCATCTGTCCTTGGATAGACATCTTTCTTCCAAGATTTATTTATTTATTTGAGAGGCAGAGTTAGAGAGAGGCAGAGAGAGAGTTTCCATGCGCTGGTTCACTCCCCAGATGGCCGTAAGGGTGGAGCTGGGCCAATCTGAAGCCAGGAGTCAGGAGCTTCTTCCAGGTCTCCCACGTGGGTGCAGGGGCCCAAGGACCTGGGTCATCTTCTACTGCTTTCCCAGGCCACAGCAGGGAGCTGGATTGGAAGAGGAGCAGCTGGGACTCAACCAGCACCCATATGGCATGCGGCCCTGCAGGCGGAGGCTTTACCTGCTATGCCGTAGCACCGGCCCCTGGGTAGACATTTTCCATCTGTTTCTCAGGTGAGAGACCTGAGGCCCAGAGCATTGGGTATCTTTCTGGAAAGTCAGAGAAGCAGGGCTGGGACCGGCTGTTTTCTGTCTCCCAGATCCTTGCCTTTCGGGAGCCCTGGCTGTGGCTCAGCACGTTGCTTTTCTAGCCTCTTGTGAGATGCTGTGGGGCAGGTTTGGGATTGATGTCACCTGCAGGCTGGCTGGAAAAAGGAAGTTCACAGGGACAGACCAGTGAGAGAACAAGAAAATGCTCTGGTCTGGAGTCATGCACATATGGTGGAAGTGGTAAACTGGGAAAAGTGGGAAAGGCTTCTGCCAGAAAGGAGTGGGGAGGCGTGGCCAGGGAGAAGGAGGAGGAGTTCCTGGGCCAGCCGCTGTTGCTTCTGTGCTGAACCTCCAGTGGTTCCCTGAATGCGTTATCTGCATTCCCAGGTGAGGAAATTCGGGAATGCAGGACCAAGGCCGCCTGGCTGGGTTTGAATCATGTCTCTCTTTTTTAAAATTTTATTTTATTTTTATTTTTGACAGGCAGAGTGGACAGTGAGAGAGAGAGACAGAAAGGTCTTCCTTTTGCCATTGGTTCACCCTCCAATGGCTGCCACAGCCTGCACACCACGCTGATCTGAAGGCAGGAGCCAGGTGCTTCTGGTCTCCCATGTGGGTGCAGGGCCCAAGCACTTGGGCCATCCTCCACTGCACTCCCTGGCCACAGCAGAGAGCTAGCCTGGAAGAGGGGCAACCGGGACAGAATCCAGTGCCCTGACCGGGACTAGAACCCGGTGTGCCGGCGCCGCAAGGTGGAGGATTAGCCTAGTGAGCTGCGGCGCAGGCCGAACCATGACTCTTGAAGGTGCTGCTGCTTCCTGTGGCCAGCCTCTGCTCTGGTGCGTGGACGAGAACACACACTGGGCTGGGCTGAGTCAGCAAAAGCCGCAAGGGTAGAGGTGCAGGCTCTCCCCAGACCAGGAGGTTCCACTGGACTGGTGTGGTGTCTGTCCTGGGGCTCTGCAGGGCGGACCCAGCGAAAGTGCTACACTAGGCTTCTGGAAACAGGTGGTGGTGCATGGAGGGCTGGGGCTGAACTGGGAGACTGGAGTTAGTTCTGTCCTGCTGGGTGTCTGGGTTGTGTACATCCGGCTCAGGGCTTGGGCATGAGACGGTATGGGTGATGAACCTGAGCTTCCCCAGGGCAGGATCTAGGTCTGACTCCCTCTCTGCCTGCAGCCCCGGTGGGTGTGCCAGGAGGACGCTTTTGGCCCTTGCACTGTCAAGCTAAGTCTTTCCCCAGTGGAGGAGAGAATGGTTTATTTTTCCAGTGAGTGGAAGGAAGTTCTTGCTAGAAGCAGCGCCACTTGAAAGATGGATTGAGGAAAGCCAGAGAAAGGGCGTTCTGAGCAGGGAGCTGAGAGGAGCAAAGGCAGGGAGACGTGGAGAAGGAACAGGTCACCTGGTACAGCCACAGGGTAGGGGGCACATGTGAGTTAAGGTTCCTCTTGGGCTGTGCCACTGTGGTGGTCCCTTTGGCTCTCTGGGTCTCAGTTTCCCCTTCTGAAAGCAAGCCCTGAGATCTGATGATGTGTGATGCTAGCCTGTGCCTGGGGATTAGGACAAGAATCTCAACGAGACCAGCTAGAGGGGTTTTACACTCTGCATTACTTGAATGCATACCGGTCCAGCCGTGCCCTGGTTGGCCAGGCCCTTTGGGGCGTGGTTTTTCCTAGGTGAGCTAATTTAATCCTCATAGCAGCCCTGTAGGTGGGCACTGCCGTTCTCTCCATCTTACTGATCAAGAAACCATGGGGCAGGGAGGCGAAGTGACATTGCATAAGCAGCAGAGCTACACAGCATAAAGCCCAGGCGGTCTATCTTTGGAGTTGGCCCCGTGTGGGACAGGCAGGGGAGGGGGGACTGCTGGGGCCAACAGTGCAGACCTGTGCATTGTTCAGACAGCAGGAGGTAGAGGTGTCCCCTGAGGAGGGCCGAGCCGCAGCCCGAAGCCGGAGGCCCAGCCTGGCCTGACGGAGCGACGACGACCCACTGTGTCAGCTCCCCTGAGCCCCTGCAGAAGCCTGCTCCTTTCATCACATTTAATGGCCCATTGGAAGCAGGCTCGATTTCCTTTCTCTGTCGTCGCTAGCTCCGGGACCCCATCAAGCCTTGGTTATTGCCCCAGTGAGTCCGTTTCTTTGCGAGCATCCTGATGGCTTCTGCAGGCGCCTTAGCGCTGTCTCTCCATCACAGGGACAAGCAGCCGCATTTCTGCCTTCTCTGCTTCGGAACCAGCTAGTCAACTTCAGCAATCCCCGTGCCCCGTATCAGAGGTGGAGACACAGGCGACAGCAACCACTGCGTGTTTAGAGCCACTGCGAGCCAGCACTGTCTTTGAGACAGGAATAATTGTTAGCAGAGAGGCGGAGCCTGAGGCTCAGCGAGATCCAAAATCATATAGCGGTGGTAGAACAGGAAGTCAGATGGAGCCAGGCCTGTTGGCCTCCAGAATCCAGGTCTTAGCCTCCCTGCAGGAGAGGTGCCTTCAAGTTACTCCCTGTTGGGGCCAGCACTGCGGTGCGGTGGAGGTGCCTTCAAGTTACTCCCTGTTGGGGCCAGCACTGCGGTGCAGTGGTAAGCCGCTGCCTGGGAGGCCAGTATCCCATGTGGGCGTGGGTTTGACTCCTGGTTGCTCTGCTTCTGATCCAGCTCCCTGCCACTGTACCACGGATAGCAAGTGCTTAGGCCCCGTCACGCACCCACACGGGAGACCCAGATGGAGTCCCAGACTCCTGGCTTCTGCATGGCCCAGCTCCTGAGGTTGCAGACACTTGGGGAGTGCACCAGCAGGTGGGAGATCTGTCTCTCCCTCTCTAACCCTGCCTTTCAAATAAATAAAATCTTTTTTTTTTTTAAAGTTATTTCCACTCTCCAGGAAACTATTTTCTGTGTCGTGTTTATACCTAAAAGCTCATTAATTGTCACGACAATCTTTCAAGTAAGAGGTGTCACGCACCCTCTGGCTCTTGCTGCTCTGGACGGAATTGGAAAGGGTCCAGGGAGGGCACTGGATGCTCTGAGGCCCAGAGCTGTGTCTTCTGGCCAGCTCTTGTTTCTGAAGTGCTGGGGGCCGGCCAGCTGCCGCTC